AGAGAAAAGAGAGAGAAAAACACAACCTCGGCATTGATAACTTTCAATATCACGCGAAAATTATTAATTATTGTCGTAATAGATTTTTTGAAGTTTAGTAAATTTCGTGTCCGCATGTCCGCGTTTTCCACTTGACTTGCGTGTCCGCGTGTCCGCGTCCGCATGTCCGCGTTTTCCACTTGACTGGCGTGTCCGCATGTCCGCATGTCCGCGTGTCCGCATGTCCGCGTTTTCCACCTAACCCAATTTCACACTACGGTATAAGTGTGAGCTTCATTAGTGAGTTAAGTTTCATTATGCCAACCAGTGAAGCTAGGATAAAATATAGAGATCTTTCATATAAAATTAATGGTTTGAGCTATGATTATTCAACATGTGTATTATTCAAAATTTGTTATTTCAAATATTATTTAGGAAAACATGGTGAAGGCATCCCCAAATGATAAAGCTATGGCCAAAAAAGAAACTACAGAGATCGAGATAGTAAGTATGAGTGTGTACATGTGTAATTTATCGTTTTTACTTAAAAAGAATTCAACTACAGTGATTTAATATCAAGTATTGTTAATTCATTTTAGTGGCACAATGACATTTAATTTGATGACCGTAAATGCACTGCCTTGCAAAAGAGCCATCAAAATGTGCAATCAAATTATTGGACTTCCTATTTTCATCGGAAGAGCTCCAGGATGGAATACTATTCCAGTCGAAAAGATCTCCAAAACCAGGACTAGATCCCAACAGGGTCACTAAATTGTTTGGTAAGAATAATATATGTGATTTGACTTGAACTTTGGCCAGCTGTGAACAGATATATACAAACTTAAGACTAAGTTGCCACAGTATGTGTTAATTAAAAGTACTAGTTTTCTTTGCCAATGGCAATGTGTTTCGGGTAAACATTGAAATGAACTTAAATACCAAAAATAGACTTACTTTAACACATTCTCTTTTTACGATATAGCTGTCCTCGACGCCAAGTATGGCGAAGAAAAAGTACAGAAAACAGTAAACAGTAAACAGTAAACAGTAAACAGTAAACAAGCCAAATTATCGTGGATACGTGCAATCAAAATTCCGCGATAAGTGCCGCGATATGCGAAGAAAAACAAAATCGAAGAACTTGCAATAACAATTGTGTCAATGCTAATATAATTTCATGAAGTAAAGTATGAAACAACCTCCGAATAAAAGTTCCATCTTGAAACTCAATTATTTAGAACAAAATTATTAAGAACAGACAAGATTCCTTCTGTTTTCTCTCAAATGTTGAGCAAGGTGGAACTTTCATTCGGATTTTATTTCAATCGCCATGTTTATTGCTGCAGCTAATCCAATCTGCTATTTTATTTATTTCGTCTTGCATGATTAAATTTAACTCTTTTAAGCAAGAATGGCTATGGAAAATATTTGTGTCATCTGCAAACAATATTTTGGAAACTAGTTTGCTGCAATTTTGGATATCATTTATGTACAATAAAAATAATAGTGGCCCCAAAATTGAACCTTGAGGAACACCACTAGTTATTGTCATTGCTTCAGACTTAGTGTCATTATACTTAACAATTTGTTTTCTATTGGCTAGATAGTTCTCAAACCATTTAAGAGCAACACCTCTAATTCCATAGTATTCTAATTTCTTAATCAGGATGCCATGATTAATAGTATCAAATGCTTTTGACAAGTCAAGGAAAATACCAATTGTATATTGTCCTTTGTGAATTGCCTTTGTTATTTTATCAATAAATTCAATTATAGCGAGTTCAGTTGATCTATTTTTGCGAAATCCATACTGGTGTTCTGAGAGAATATTATTTTTTTCGACAAAATTGATGAGACGTTTATACATAATTTTCTCTAGTATTTTTGCAAAACAAGTGATAACTGAAATTGGTCTATAGTTTTCAAATTTGTTCTCTTCATTTGACTTATAAATCGGCGTTACCAACGCTATTTTGAGTTCAAGGGGAATATTACCAGTTAGGAATGTTTGATTAAATATTTGTGTAATTGGTTTAGAGATTTCATTTGTCACAAGTTTTATTATTTTTTTTCACTAAGACCATCATGTCCAGGACTTTTGGTTGTGTTTAGTTTTTCTATTTCACTTCTTACTTCATATTCTGTAACTGGATCCAGAAATAAGCTGTTAGGGATGCTGTTTGTGAGGTATTTATCAAATGTTATATTAGTGTTATTAATTTTCTTAGCTAGATTTGGTCCTATAATTACAAAATAGTCATTAAATTTGTTTGCAATTTTTATAGGGTCATCTATAGTGCTAGATGACGTATTATCAGCAAACTGTTTTGGTAAATTTGTTTTCTTTGTTTTTTTGTTCAGAATATTGTTTAGTGTTTTCCAAATCATTTTAGTATCATGCTTATATTTTATTAATTGTTCTTCATAATACATTTTCTTTGATGCTTTAATAACATGGTTTAGCTTATTTTTATACTTTTTGTATAAATTTTGATTTTTCTTACTATTGTTTAGTAAGTAAGCCTTATATAGTTTGTTTTTTGTTCTCACTTATTTCAAGACACTTTTTGTCATCCAAGGACTTTTGCTTTTATCAGTTGAATTTTTTTTTTGGTTGGAAAACTTATATTATAAGCATTTAAGAATGTTTCTGTGAATTCGGAAAAACTTAGTTCTGGATTCGAGTTATCAGAAAAATACTTGGCCAAGATATTTCATTAAATAGCTTGTTTGAAAACATTTATATTTGCATTATTGAATTTTCTAATGTCTATTATTTCTTTGTTGCGTTTATTTAAATGGATTGCATTGAGGTCACACACATGCAATATGGGTAGATGATCTGAGATATCATAGAAAATAATTCCATTTACACTTGAGTCTATTTTATCTATATTATTAGTGAAAATATTATCAATTAGAGTAGCAGTATGTTCAGTTATTCTGGTTGGTTTGGTTATAATTGGGTAAAAAGAGGAGGTAAAAAGTTGCTCACTAAACCTATTAGCAATATCACAGGTTTCTGACTGAAGTAAGTCTATATTGAAATCTTCCATAAGATAACAGATTTTGTTTTCTCGATCAATTGTATTCAATAAATCATTCATTGCATTTTCAAATATTTCAATTTTGTTATTTGGTGGTCTATAAATTACTGCAATGATAATATTTTTCCCTACGGTTGTGCATATTTCAATTCAAACACTTTCAATGATATCTTCAATATTTGTGGTTAGGTCCTCACGTTTTTTGCGGTTTATATGCGCTTTAATATATATACCAACTCCCCCTCCTTTTTTAGTCTCCCTATTTAATCCTATATAGTCATATCCTCCTAATTTATAATATTGTTCACAGTCATTATTGCTAAGCCATGTTTCAGTAAGACCTATTATATTTACATTCTTGATTAGTGATTCAGTTAAATATTTAAAGCTATCAAATTTGTTTCTTATACTTCTTATATTTAGATGCATTATAGAAAATGCATTTGATGAATGGAAATGTTTTTCAGATTTTGTTATAAACTCCGTTGGTAAATAATAGTTGCAGTATATTTCGTTAATGTTGAGAGATTTATCAAGATTTGTGTTATGTTGGCTGAAAGCTACATCGTTATTTGTCTGGAAAGGGTTAAATTTCAAATTATTTAGTTTGTCTACGTTTATGTTATTGAATTTAGACGATAAATTACACTCGAAACAAGTGCGGAATATATGATTAATATCCTGAGATGAAATTAACAGCGAGTCAGGCATATCAGGAAATGATTTCAAACATTCTTTCACAGCGTGAAACCATTTATGACACATGTTGCACTCGGAAATATTATTTTAAATTAATTCAGAACAGGATGAACATGTTTTTATCGCGTTGTTTACGTTTGATTTTTAGTAGTCATTGTTGACTATCAAGAAAAGTTTAGCTTGTTAATAAGAATTAAAGTATTCAAATTGTATGACTTGTATAAAAGTAAAAGTTAATAAAGATATAAAACCTGTTTAATATGATATTTGATTATCCCCTGAACAATTCACCATTGATAAACAGTTTGTCTCTGACAAGAGTAGCTTTTAGATTGTTACGTCTTGCCTTTTTAAATTCTGGGTAAAGCCTCTTCCTTTCTCTGACAATTTCCTCGGGAAATTGCTCAGAAATTCCGATTCTGCTTGCCGTATCTTTTAGCTTCTTTGCATTCCGCATGATTGAAACTTTATCCTGATGAAAATTGAACTTTGCGACAATTGGTCGCGTTTCTCCCCGTTTCTTTTTTCCCAAGCGATGAGAACGGTCGATTTTTATTTTCATAACAGCGTCCTCGAACCCAAGCTTTTCTTCCAACAGCTTGTGAATCATTGCTGTGGTGTTTTCATCGCTTTCTTCAGGCATGTTGTAAAACAGCAGATTGTCGCGCATTGACCTCGCTTTAACGTCAATGACGCTATTCAATAATGTTATGTTGTCGGCTTCAAGTTTGTTGATGCGTTCGGTTGTTTCTCTCTGAACTTGCGCTTTTTTCTCATTTTCCTTCTTCAAATCGTCTATTTCGCTATGAGCGTATTCAA